CTCCGTGATTCCCCCTGGAGTGGAACTCCGGCAGCTTGATCACCTGCCAACGATTCCCCGTCGACGAAGCCTTGCGACGTATCCTCCGTGTTGCATGCCCGAGTTACACCCGAGCTACCCGGTCTACAAGAGCTCCTTGATTAGCGACTAGAGATTAGAATTGTTGCAACTACGATTGCCTGAGCTGTATACGACTCTACAGTGTAAGTAAAGCCATCTCTGTTTTTTCCAATTGATACGTGTCTTGTCTGTGCCTAATTCCGCTTCGGTGATAGAGAGTACCCATCTGCCCGTCACGGGATCGCAGCCACGACCCCAGCTAGCGTTCCCGAGGGTTCCTGATCCTCGATTCCCCCTTGGCCCCCACACAAGCTGAACAGCTCAGGACCTGGCCCACAAATGGACACTACCACACGATGGCTAATCAGGAAAATGACCTGCAGGCTTAGTTTCTATCCCATGAAAAATGAAAGGGCAGATGGGGGAGGAAGAGAGAGGGACACTTCTTGGTAGCAGCCCCAACCTTGAGCCTGGAAGGGGGAGAGGGGACCAGTTGCAGCTTCTTTCCTCTCGCCAACCTGAAGACCTCCAGGTGGAGGGGAGGGGAGGCTCAGGGGGCTGGGACAGAGATAATAGGGTAGGTGAGTCTTTGGGACAGAGCTCATGGGGCCTGGGTGGATGTCGGTGGTGAACTTCTGGGAATACTTGGAGCTGGAGGCATGATGGATGGGCGTGACAAGCAGGGTCAGGGTGCATGAGGAGGTAGGAGAACATGGAGCAGAGATGGGGGCTGAAGGATGAGCCAAACCTGATATGAAAGCAAGACTGATGCTGGGAGTATGGGGGGAAGTAGGTTTGTGTGCAGGCTAGTGGCATCAGTAATTGCTGGGCAGAGGGCAAGGGCCAGCACAGTTATGGGGGCAAGAGTTACTGCAGCACCAAGAGGCCAAAGTCACCTCTCTCGACACATCTGGGAAAGTGGGCTGGACACATTGTGTCACCCATTCGTGCCCAGGGAAGTGGGGAGAGGGGTTACAGCAGAACCAGAAGAGAGCCCTGTAGGCCTCACGGGAGCATTAGCTGGTACGGGCACCAATTAGCACAGCGACTGCTCAGGCTTTGCAGAAGCATTGACCAATATAAAGCTCGCCCGAGCGGTGGCTTATGCATGAACCAATACAAGGTGTGCGATACCGCTGGGAAAGGGAGTTGGGCACATCAAGCACCGGACAGTGCAGTACTTGTATGATAAAGGAAGATCAGGACCACTTAGATGAGGATGTACAACAGGTACAAGGTGGCCCAAGGTACCATCAGATTGTAACACACAGCTGCTTTTTCTCAGCCTGTTTGCACTTAGCACTGTGGGCTGCGCTGTATAAGAGTTGGGAAACTTGGTATCTCAGATGGGTGAGCAACTACTCCGGCATGATCAGCCCGATCTGCCATGGCTTGGGCCTCTTAATCTGCTCAGTTTGTTGATCTGTGGGGTGACTGCTCAGTACGTTATATGCTGTGAAATTCTGGGTCAACTTCTCATCTTTGCAATAGCCAAAATCAGGCTTGTTGGAGAGCCTGTTATACTGTATTCTCAGGGCCCAGCCAAGGTAAGTCCAGCTTCTAGCTGGTACTGTCAGAGCAGCTGTGGATGCTGTGCCATTTATCTCCCATTGAACCAGACCCTATCCAGGCACCTTAAGTTGAGTACCCAAAATAGTTGATCACTGATCAAGCCCTACATGATTGCTTTGAGTTCATGACATCCTATGTGATTGCCAAAATAATGGGAAATCTCGCCCCTAAACATTTGGGATCATATGAATTCTTTGATGGGGGGGGAGGTTGATCTTTTCACCAAACTGTATGATGTTTCGACATTACAATTTAAAATAAAAAGAGTATTGAGAGCTGAATCAAATGGAGGTGAGAAAGTTGGGAGGCTGAGGGGGTTTCCTCCTCTCTATCTATCTCTCCCTAGTCTATACAGTCAATAAAAAGGGAAAGAAGTGGTTAGATCAGGACTCCACTGAGACAGAAACAGTTTTGGTTGTGTCTTTGTATGGTGACTAGCATAGAGGAGACCTGCTCTATTATCAGGTATTGCTGCAGCAAGAATTATTAACATCTTTCCCTCAATGGGATAGAAAAGAAAAAATGGTATTTATATCATTCACTATTTTTGACAAACACTTGTCTAGGGCAGTGTAGACAGAGGCAATCCTGTCTTGAGCAAAGGGTAGGACTAAATGACCTCCTGGGGTCCCTTCCAGCCCTACTTTTCTGTGATTTCTCTGAACTCATCCAAAATGAAAAAACAACAAACCCGCAAAAATATCCTATTAATTCATATGCAACCAAAAATAAAATGGATCAGTTTTCCTTCTGTAGGATTTCCCCCATTTCTATCCTTTTCTCTTTTTATTCCTGCCCCCCACCCCTTATAAGAACAAAAAAAAAATGACAAAGCCTCACCCTGTGGGAACTTGCTTTCCATTTGGTTTCAAGCAAAACCCACTTTTATCGGTTAGAATCATATCATCAAAATAAAGAACATTTCCACCCAGCCAAATAATACCCTTCTCTTTTATCTTGCTTTATCTGCAGGGGGAAAAGGACTCCCCTAGAGCACTACATGAATGGTTTCAGGGCAGCTATCAAGCGGCTGGGAAGCAGGAGAGATTGTCAACGAGAACAAACAGGAAGATCAGAGCCCCTCGTTCAGGGCAGCCTGGGATGCAGTGGGAGGTGATTTTGCAATAACCCTGCACGTGGCTGCACAGATGACTTCACAGATCACAGTGACAGGGGAGACAAGTCTGCCAGCTGATGTCAGCACAAGTTACAAGCAAAGGAGTTATTTCAGATGGCCTTGCTCGGTCCCTTATTAAATGTCACTTTGCCATAGGACCAAATGGCCATCCCAAGGGGGTCCCATGCACTCAGCAAGCACGCCTTTCGTTGCAAGAGTCAGATGATCCACTGCTACGGATGCCAGGCTCTGTGCATTCATTTGGCAGCAGTGGGTGGACTGGATCATTTCCAGCTCCTAGCTATTCTGTTCCTGTCTATCTACCCACCAGGAACACCCTGTGATCAGAGTCCCACCGAACTTCAGCTGTGTCCAAAGCAAGTTGTCAGAGCATTTGTTCAAGGTCAACAGCGAAACATAGAAAATTAGGGCTAGAAGGATCCTCTGGAGATCACATCTAGTCCAACCCCCTGCTCAAGGCAAGAGCATCCCTATCTAAACCATCCCCATACAAGTGCTTGTCACACTAAAACTGCACAATCAACCCTGTCACCCAACTGCAAGGCATATTGGCCCAAAGACACCAGGAGCACCCTGACCTTCCACAAGTGCACAGGGAGACAAGGGCTGCCAGCGTTGCAGCTGCGAGGGCTGTTAAGATACACTCAAACAATGCAAGGAAGAGGGCCATGCCCTCTGCTACAGAGGAAAGCAAAAGCCCCCACAGTCCGTACCAATCTGACCATGGAGTAAAATCGTTCCTGATCCCAAATATGGCAACTGGTCTGACCCCAAACAGGGGAGCAAGACCCTCTAACCAGGAGCCTCTAGGTTGAGTCCTAGCAGGAGCATTGGCACACCCCAGTCAGAAGCCCCACCTTGGCTGCAGGCAACACCCAGCGCTTCTGAGGACAGCAAGAAGCCCCTGACCCCTGTAGTGACAGAAGGAGAAAAAATCCCTGCCTGACCCCACGTGGCAGCCAACAAAGCCCAGTAGCATGGGGAGAAAATATCAAACATCTGCACTGTGCTCAGAGAAAACTCTCATCGCATGCTCAGAAAGCCTAAGGGAGTGCTAGCAGTGATGCTAGACCTTGCAAGCACTGCTGACCAGGATTCATTTCTAACTGAGTTTCCTTTGCTGGGTGGGAAGACTGGGGACTAAAGGCCCAGGAGACAGGCCCCAGCACTGCCCCTCTCTATTTCCACCAATTATTCCCCACCATGAACTCTTGATTCAGGGAGGCTGGGGAGAGATACAGGCTTTGGATCAGGAGAAAAAAAGCATCAGACAGAGAATGGATTTCAGATGATGGGTAGACACTAGTGTTGGTTGTTGTCAACAAGAGCTTATGCCCCTGAACCAATTCATGTCTATGGTGCCACCCTGCCCTAACTTCCCCCTGCCTTCAGACTAACCTGACTAATTACCTGTTGGACCTTCCCCCTGACTTCAGACTAACCTGACTAATTACCTGTTGGAAAGCACAGGGAAAACTGCTGTAGTTGGCACTGGTGATATTTTAGCTGGACAACTGTGGCCGTGTTGAAGCACCATGCTGTGAGAAGGACGAACACATCTTGGAGAGCAACAAAAGTGATTGGAGGTTTTCAAAATGCAGCTTCTGAGGATAGGAGTAGAGAACTGCATTTGTCTAGTCTCCAAAATAGGACTGAAAGGGGTGCCAGACAATAGTCTTCAGAGAGGTGAGTAGTTGTTAGAAGGAAGCCAAGGATCCATTTTCTCCATGTCCAAAAAGGGCAGGAGAAAAGTACTCAGCTCAGTTTGCAACAAGGGGAATTCAGGGCAGGTAGTTCCTATGGGCACATCTACCCATTCATTAATGCACTTTTGCTAATGCGCATTAAATTTAGTGCCTCCATTGTGCGGTACTAGAAAAAAAGCACAGTCGCCTATTTTAATGTGCATTAGTGAAAACACCATGTGTCTTTTTTTGTGATGCTTTAGTGTGCATTAAACTAAGATAATGCTCATTAAAGCGCATGGGTAGCCGTTCCCACAGGTGCCACCCTGCCCTGCCTTCTGCAGTGGCAACTGAGGTGTGCATTCTCGTTGCCCCTAGTTGTTAAAGGAGTAATTTTTTAGCTGTCTACATGGTGTGTTTGGCACCTGCATGCCAACTGGAAGTCTATTTCCCAGCGGTGTGGACACACATGTGTGCACAGAGTGGCCGTGTGCATTTGGCTACACAGACCTGAGCAAAGAAGCTGATGCCAGCAGTCGCGCTTGCCTGAGCAGATTGTCTCTCTGTTGGTCTACTTAGAATCACAGTATTTCAGTGCCCAGGAGGGGGCAAAGCTTCCCCTGTACCCAGCCCGTGTGCAGCACTGGGGCAAGTCCTCACCCCTCCCGTGGAGTCATGTTGTGCATCGCACAAGCAGCAATAATGACTGATCCAAAAGATCTGGGAACAGGAAGCAAAAGGAGAAAATAGAGAGGGAACAAATCAGGAGGACAAGTCTGAGGAGGCAGAAAGAAGAGAGCTGGATTGCAGGGAGACAGGAAGGTGATTCACCACTGTGACCCTCTGACTAACACAGGCCGGAGAAGTGCCCCCAGCACGTCAAGCAGAGAAGCCCAGAGCTTGCAGGTGTCCAGACTGAGCACCGAGAAGGAAAACATCCTGGCTGGAGGACACCAGTCACAGCTTGTGCAATGACTTGCCAGAGTCCAAAAATGGCTTCTGGAACTGCTCCCCCCGTGACGTGCCCCCTTGCCCATGCCCCCATGACCAGCAAAACGGGCCGCTATGCTCCAGTGCAAAAGCGTGGGTGTGAAAATTGTACCAAGGCTTCTCATCCGAGGAAGCCTTGCTGGCCCAGGCAAAACCCACCTTTCCAAAGGTCAGCAGCTGTTCCCTGTTAGCATTTGGGATGCAGCTCATTAAGCAGAAGGAATCTCAGTCCACTCTGTACTCCCACTGCTGTGGGCAGATAGGGTTTCTCAAGGATGTTGTGCAATAAGAAGCAGGTGCTGCTTGGGGCTCACCCTGCTCTGCATGGACCATTGAGCAGACATCTGAGAGTGACCTGTCGGTAGCTGTGGTAGCAATCTGGGGTCCAGAGGGGACTGGTGCAGCAACCTTGAGAGTTTGGTCTGTCCTCTGCAGCAAGTGGCACTCAGAGGGTGCACGAATCCCACCGCAGATCTCCAAGCATAAGTCTCAGCCCAGGGGGCTCAGAAAGCAATGGCTTTGGGGCTTCCTTTTTCTCTGAAGCAGTGTCTTGGGCTAGCCTGTACCCCAGGTGTAACTTTGCTAAGGCATTAAAGCAACTTTGCTAAGCCATTGATAATGCAGCTGTCCCAGTCCTGGTTCAAGCACAGTTCTCCATTGCAGAGCAGACGGGGATTAATCCCATTCCCTAATGTGACATTGAACCACGGAAAGAAGTGGGGATGGGCTGGGGACTGGAGAAAGACAGCACCGGGTGAAGGAAGGAAAAGCTGAGTAGAGAACAGGTGGATAAGGCAAGTGGAGTAAGGTGAAGCACATGGGAGGCAGCAAGCTGCTTTGCTCTTTGATGGCTTCAGAGGCTCCATACCTGTCCCTACCTTCAGCAAGATATCAGGTAGGAAAAATAATGGTTGAGACATCATCGCAATCACCTCCAAGGACCTGTTAGGTTCTAGGATATGACCACTGGAATAAACACACAGCAACTGTTCATTGAGTATGAACTTAGTGCAGCCTGTGTTCACACTATCAGCAGGGATAGTGCAAGGCTGAACACATATCCAAAGGGAATTATATATATTAGCAGTGCTTACACCAAGTCCACATTATTGCATCTTAACAGTTTGGAGATTAATGAGTATTACAATGACAAACGTTCCTTCTTTTCTACCTTGCTATGTGTAGAAACAGAGGTCGCCAAATGAAGCGGTGGATGAGTCCCATGGCTGGACAACAGATAACATGCTTCCCACTTACAGAGACATGCTTCCTCGGGCATGTCTCTAAACAGGGGACCCCAGCTTCCTGCGCTTACTGTTTGTCTGTGCTTTGTGCCACCATAGGGATGTTTATGGTGGCATGAAGGCCTACAACAAGACCAGTCTTGTAGGACCAAGGAGACCTTACCCATCTCTAATTTATACAAGCCAGCTTGATTAGACAAGAACGCAAAGGCATTATCTTGAGGTATTATCTTGTCTCATGACAAGACAGGTGTGTTTTTACAGCAGCATAATTAACTGAGGTTAGCTCTCTTGCTGTGAAAGCCTGGTGGAGGCAAGGCCCTGTAGCTGTCACCTCACAGCTAGCCAAGGTAAGTCTCAGGTATTAGGTAGGTACTAGGTACAGTGAGGAAAAATTGATCTGTGCTTTGTATCTGCTAGCATCTTACACTGACAGCTCACACCTTTCCAGGCCTTTTCACAGACTGAGAATACTGGCCTCAGTTCAGTATCTTCCCCTCTTTTCCTCCAGTCCCCAGTGTCTCTGCATGCAGAGACCATGCAGACATAGCATACAGGACTACTCAAAGCACCTTGGCTCCAGTTCAGGTTATGAAATGCACTGGGACCTTCAGCACCCACAAATCTTTACCACCTTAGGGCTATTCTCATTTTATTCATGCAGACTGCCCCAGGTGATGGGGAGCATCTTCAATTTGCATCTAGCCCCTGTTTGCCAATTCTTGCATCTGTGTGAATGCAAAAAGCAGAGCTCAAGTGAGGAAGCAGTATTTCCTTTATAGAAATGGCCACTGCCAAACTCCCCTAAAATGTTGCCCCTTCTCCACCTGCAGCATTCCTCTCATCTCATTGCCCAGAAAACTCCCAGATACGAATAGTGTGAAACTAAAATTACAATCAGTCCAATGTTTCCCCTTCATTTCTCCCTGCCTGACTTCTTCATGGGCATGCCAAGGTACCATGGTGATTAAGTGCTTCATAGATTAGATTAACAGTCAAATAGTGTGTATCAAAGGCAATCCTGTACACCTCTTCCCACCCTGCTCAAATAGGAGGCATACATAGAGGGATAAAGATCAACCCGAGTTTATTATTAAGTCTAACATGCAAGCCATATGCTAAATGGGGACCGATGAGTATAAGAATGAAGGATATATCCCGGAACAGGAGGAAAGCAGGGCTTTCAGGGGGAACTCCAGAGACTTCAAGCCATAGGTTTCAATCCATAAAAGAAGCCAAAGAACCTTGCATGATAATTTCTGCAGCAAGCACTTCTGTTTGAGCTAGAGCACACCCATTAGAAAGACATCCCGCTTCAATTTAAGACCTCAAGGAGCAGAAAATCCACCACATCCTGAGGCCAGTTGATGCAGCACTAAATTCCCCCTCACTGTTAGAAATGTGCTCCTTTTTCCTAGTCTGAATGGGTGCAGCTCAGCTTCCAAGCCCTGGACCTTGTCATGCTGCCTACTGCTGCATTACTGAGCTGACTGCTATCAGAAATCTCTTCTCTAGACAGAGGGAAACATTAAAGAGGGGCGAATCCTCCAGGAAGGCAAGGTTTTTAGACACAAGCCTGACCATTCCCAGACTCTAGGCCAATTCCCAGTCACCATGCTAAAGGACTCATGTGGTGGACACTACCGTCCTGTGTCCTGTAAGGGTGGGGAAGCTCACTAGCTCCAGGCCAGAAGGGAGACCAGCATTGGATGCAGGGCTATAATACACAGACCTTCTAGGCTCTTGGTCCTCTGCTCAGGACAGTAGACTTCAGCACCGAAGCCTTGGTCTGTATGGAAACAGCCACCAGCTTTGCAGGAACACAAAGGACTCCTCCAGTGCTGCGATTCAGGGTTTGTAATACATAATGTTGTTAATTTTTGGTTCACTGTGCAGGTTGCAGCAGGATGGATCTATATGACTGAGATCAACAATCACAGGTAACCAAACTATAAATGGCAAATGGTTGTCCTGCATACCTCATCCTGGCCCAGTTTCTCAACCCCTATAAATACAGGGACTTTTCATCCAGAAATGATCTTCACTCCCATCTGCTTCACTCTCTTGCCCTTACTAGTCTAACTTTATGCCAACCATGCTGTTGGTCCAGTAAAAGATCCCCCAAGGGTTTACACCTTCAAATGCCATAATTTGGGATCTTGATTCAGTCGAACATGTAGGCATATGGTTCATGTTCACTTGACTTCTTGGGACTTGAGAGTATGCTCTTCTAGCTTTGCTAAATAGGGATGACCTTGAGCATATGTCAAGAGTGCTGCACAGGGGCCTAAAACAGTCCAAATGTGCTTTTATTCATAGATAGCAACATCCTCCCAACATACCTCCTTATATAGGTTCAATACACTGTATTCTCTTAAGCACCACCATGAAATATGTTCCCCAATTAAAGAGTCATTTGCCATTTGTTTGTGTTCAACGCCATTTTCTTTGGAAAATGTGGCCCCTGCAGATCATAAGTGCAGTCTTTAAGATTTTTGTAATGACATATGTTTAGCTGGAGACCAGTCAAAAAAGGCTGAAAAATGTATCAACCCATTTGTGTGAGTTCCCAATGTGAGACTGCTCTCTAACCAAGGGGAAATGGTGCTTATAGACATGAAAATACTGCCCAATTGGTGTTCATGAGGCTACGGTGCTGCAGGAAGGTGGTACCTATGGGGAAATAGCGTGGTCTGCAGAAGAAGTGAGTGATACAAGTTGTAGTCAACCTTCTTCACATATGTGCTACAAGAAGAAATCTAGCATCAAAGGCGCAATACCTGACTTCTACAAGGCAGGCCCAGTACGAGCAGTCTCTGCTAGCTTGGGTGACTGCATCTGAATACGTTCATAACTTATCATGAATCCTTTGAATGTTGTGACCAGAGTTTTACAAACAGACAATGCAGCCTGGTTGAAAGGTTTCCATGCAGCTATCAGGCTTAGCTCTGTAGTTCAGAGTCACTCTCTTCGCAATGAAGGTCTTGGGTTGGACCCCTGCTAATAACACAGATCCCTGACTTTCTAAACATGTTTTGTAGCTCAACCAAGAGTTGTAGACCGGATGCAGGAGTGCCCAGGAGAAAGTCCACGAGGAGCTGCATGAAATCCAAATGGAAGCTCACAATTGTCTTTTCTGGCCTTCAAATCCATGTGTCTGTACAAAAGTAGTTCCTGAACTAGCCGCATGTGATTCTGTGCATAAAAGCTGAGGCAGATTTTCTCTCTCGCTGGCTGGGGAGCACTGATGTCCCAGACAACGGTAAATGGGCTTCTGTCACTAAGGGGAGTCTCCCATCTTCACTACACCCATTGACACCTGCAGCAGCAGGACATTCAACTGCTGCAAATGTCAAACCACCCAGTGATGCACGGAAACCCAGGCATGATGGGGATGTGGCCGCATCTGGAGAAAGAATCGCTTTCCAATAAAGCCAACCTATTGTGGAATAGGTTGCAAGATCATTCATTTTGTATATGCCTGCAGGGGGGTTGGGAATTAAGCAAGGAGGGGAGGATGGATGCACTTGTGAACATGTAACTACCAGCTACCTGGCTTGTAATAGCCCCTGGGCAGCACCGTACCTAGACTCCCAGTGGCCCCAGGTGAACTTTTAGTATTGGGCCCCCCTTCACCAGAGATAATGATAATAATAACTGGGGGAAAAGTTACCATTTTCAGCCCCTCTTTCTGTCTGGACCCCAGGTGGCCACCTGGTTCACCCATGCCTATGTCCGGCCTGCCCCTGGATCACAGTAACAGGTCTGGTAACTAGTGCTTCCCATGTAACTAAAAACACACCCATCCTTCCCATTCAGAGGTGGTGGTAGCAGTCCCTTTGGATAAAGACGACGGTCTTCCAGTAAATAGGAAAGTCAATGGTGAGTCCATAGATGGCTTTGGAGACCAAGCCAAGAGCTTCATGTTCAACTGAAGATGTGGAAAATAGTGCCAGGGGGAAGAAGCAGATCCTGGAGATGTCAGGTCACAGCTCTTTCTCTTTGTCTCTCTCATCCATCCATCCCCATAGAGAGGCGAGTTTATTCGAAATGCTTGATGCCTTGCATCATGGTGTCATGGGGAAAATTCAGTGCTTGAGTCTCCCAGGTATTGACTTTAACATTACACTTCTTCAGACTGGCTTTCAACGTGTCCTTGAATCTCTTCTCTTGCCCACCTCTAGGGTGGTGACTATCGGTGACTTGGGACTACCAGACCTGTTTGGGAGCTGGTAATCAGGCATCCTTGAACTTCTCGAACTCGCAATGAAACCACAGGCTTCTGAATGAGTCCGTCTTGAAAGCCAAAAGGCAAGGTTTCTGTTGCAGGATCTTTTTGTTGGCCCAAATGTATAGTTGGCCTTCCTCAGGTCATCTGAGAAACTGGAGGCATGGTGGGTGCCTAGGTCACCTGAGAAAGGGCGCTTTGTGACTGAAGGCTTGTCTAACAGCTCTCCAAACTCCAATAAAAGATATTACCAAAGAATCCTTGCATAGTCCCTAGATCACCGAGACTCAGCCAGGGTGCCATGCCACCCCATGGTGCCGTGGGATCTTTCTAAGGGTGCTACAGTGTCCTGTGCATTATTGGTTTTTAAATGTGCAAACGCTCAGGTGTGGTTCACAAGAGAAACCCAAAGCTTTCAAATAGGAAGCCAGAGTGCCCAAACCATTCTGCCCTGCTGCGGGCTAGCTGAGTCCTTTGCAACAATTGCTCTAGTATTTTTTCATAGTCCAGAAATGCGTGAAAGCCAAGAGCTGGCATTTTCCAAAGGGCTCCTGGACTCTAGCAAGGTTGAAACCCACCGTCCTAGATCATCCCAGCTGCAACCACTGAACTTAGCAAACCTCCTGTGGAAGTACTCACTTACTCCAAAGGGGCTACAGAAAGCCCTGCAGCATCCCAGACAGAAAGTGAACTTCACTTTCTGTTTCCATAGTCTCTCAGTAGCTCCACTCCTGTGTGCTTTATCTGCTGGTGAAGAAAATCCCACTGGATGACATAGTATGCAAGGAAAGGAGCCATCAGGAGCTCACAGCAAATCCAACCCTGGTGGCCCAAATCTTGGCCTGCGCTGTGATCATTTGCAACCCGAGAGCTGGATCATGCACTAAGCTACCTTCGTCTGAGAAGACCCTGAAGAAAAAGCAGCATGTTTCATACTTGGAATTGGATTTTAAATGCTATTCCAGTGGCTTGTAAACCACATTTGCTCCCAGGTCTGTTAGCTGGCAAGTGCTGTGACTACAGGATGCATTTAACAGCCTCCTCTCTCTGTGCGGTTGCATTCAGCACTGCTCAGCTGCAGAGCGCTCTGCCGGCCCATTATCAGATCCAGAAGATCGATGCCACATGGAGCCAGTGTCTCTGGCTGGCCGTAGGCTCAGGCAAACAAGACTCCATCTCTCATGGCATGAGAGGTGGAAAAATACCTTGATTGAAAGCCTGGACTCTGGAGCATGACTGTGAAGAAGCAGGATGTAGATTGTGGGTCACATTGTGCAGGGCAGGACTGCAGAATATGGTGCCCAGGACCGCAGAGACGTAAGCAAGCAAACAGACTGTCAAATAGTTGCCACGGTCCACCTGCAGTCGGAAAGCCATCAGTGGTCACCTTAATTCCTAAGTTAGATCAAACCTTTTGTGATGGTAGCAGTCCCTTTTTATAAAGATAACAGTTTTGCAGGAAATAGGGAAGTCACTGGTGAGACCATACATGGCTTAGGAGACCCATCCGAGAGCTGCAATGGCTGCAAAAGAGAATCATAGAAAATGAGGATTGGAGGGGACCTCAGGAGGTCACATCTAGTCCAACCCCCTGCTCAAAGCAGGACCAGCCCCAACTACATCACCCCAGCCAGGGCTTTGTCAAGACAGGCCTGAAAAACCTCCAAGGATGTTTTTGATCAAAATGGTTATGGTCCTGATAACAGACATTAAGGATGGGCTTGAGGAAAAACTTATTGCCAGATGCAAAGGCAGGGAAAAAGCAGGTATAAACTATGCACAGGGCACAGACAGTGGGCACGGAGGCTCTGCCCTCTGCTGCCAACTTGGCCGCTATCTTGCTTTGTGACTCTGACTTCGAGCTAGCTGCATAGGCCAAGTCTTCAGATGACGGTCAAGCTCCCTATTAGGCAACTGAACAAAAGGGCTGCAGTTTCAGAGAAACCCACAACTTCCGTTCACCTCTGGGACATTTCTATTAATGAATTGGCCACTGCAAAATCTCTAAGATGAGAATCTCGCCCTGTAAGAACACTCAGTAAGTCATCGGCATTCCCGCGTCTCCTTGCAACCGGAAATTTTTCCGTGCACAGATGCATTACGTTTCAGCCTCGGGCCATAGCTACTCAGGATAAATGGCTTTACTTTGATGTACATTTTGTACTCATTGAGTCTGGTTTTAAGTAACCGGTCTGCCTCTGGCTTTATGTTTTGTTTTGTTTTAAAGAGAGCCGTGGAATTTTCCTATTGCTCCAAAAAATCTTTTGCAATGTATAATTGCTTGTTTAAATAGATGTTACCGCCACTCCTAGAGTCCTGGCTGATTACTCTTGAATATGGTCTTTGGGTCAAATCTATGCCCTCTTACATCACGGGTGGTTCTTGGCTCTTCCCTTCAGTGGGAGATGCTCATGTTCTGCAATGGGAAGGAGAGCGGATACAAGCCTAGACAGAGAGCGTATCTTTTTTAACATCTCTCAGGGGCAGAGGGCAACTAACATCTTCACAATGGTTGAATCTCTGCTTTGTCTGCACCTCTGCTTAATTCTTCCCTAGTACAGTCATCTTGAAGGGATGCCATACACTTAAAACAGCTGTGCTTCTCCCTGGAAATGTTTCTCTGATGGGGCGGGGAAAGACATAACCTGTGTTTAATGGAGTTTCCTCTGTAGAAAGACACAGTTGTTTCCTTTCCTGGTTTCTCTGTCTGGCTCTGTGTTTCTCTGCCATCAAAGACTGACTGGGTGGCATCCCAGGGACATCCTCTCTTGGCCTAAAAGAGGAAGGGTCTACGGTGCATCTTTGACATCCCCCAGTATTATGACGAGCGGTAGGAAGGCTTGCGGCAAAAGTGAGGGGCATTCCT